TTGTAATTTTCTTCTATTTTCATATTTAAGAGGAATCCTGAGAAATTTTAAATATGGCGGTCAGATTTGGAGTAAGATTTTTTGTTTAACGTTTTTCTTTTAAAATTATAGCAATCTTAAAAAGTGTTAACAAATCTTAAAATCAAATAAGTTAATATCTAAAAAAATTATAAGACTTTTTAAAATCTCAAATGAATATCTTAAAAGTCTAAATTAAAATTTTGGAATCTTAAAAAGTCTTTAAATCTCGAACGAATACACCCTTGCCGATAGTTAACTAAATAAGGCATGCTTGTTTATAAATTATTTCTCATTCAATTCATCTTCAAAATCTAACTCAATTTTAATCCAACCTCACTATCTTTAATATTATTCATATAATCGAATAATACAAATCAATCATTCTTACACATCATATCAACTTTGATTCACTATTCATCCTATCGCATAATTTTAACTACCTATCATTTTCAATCTTTTTCAATCATTTATCTCATACTTTTACATCAAACCAATTTTAATTATTTTATTTTTAAATATTATTTTAATACATTCTCAAAATCTCACTAACTAACTATACCACATTTTTCAAAATTAACTCTGATTAACCAAAATAACTCATTTTGAACAAATTATTTAGAGCACATTTGGTTGGGGAGATTAGATAGGATAAACCCATTTATCCTGGTTTATCATGTGTTTGTTTACTATGATAATGGCCCGCAAATTTATGTCCGGCCCGTGATAAATTTGGCCTAATCTTGAATACTCATGACTAAACTATCATGGGGGAGGGCACTACAAAAAAACACTACAATTCCAATGAAAAAATCCAACGGCAAAACTTTTCGTTGGAAATTCCAATGAATATTCCAACAAATTGAATTTTATGTTGGAATAAGTGTTGGATAGTTGAGGAATTCCAACGGATTTTTTCTGTTGGAATAGTTGTAGGAATTTATTTTCATAGGATTTTCCGTTGGATATTTGCTATTCCAACGGCCGTTTTTCCAACGGATTTTTATACGTAGGAATATCCGTTGGAATAGCTATTCCAAAGGAAGTATAAAAAATTCCAACGGAAAATTTCCGTCGAAATGTAAGAGTTTTTTTTGTAGTGGGGGGTGTGATAAATTTTATCAAGGTTGATTTTCATAACAAATTACATAAATGTCCAAGTCAAGTTTTTTATTTTTTTCAAAAAAGAGCAATAATAATGACGCTCGGCTTGTCGCAGGCTCGCAGCCACCCCGCATTTGTCAAAGGCACCCCTGCTGCAGTCGCCCGCCTCCCCGTCCACCAATCACCGAGTCAGCTCCGTCGCTGTCCAAACCTCACCGTCGATCTTCCCCACCCCTCCCCAACGCAACTGTCGTTTTTTTCCACTTTTTTATGTATTGTAAACAAAATAAATCACAGGTAGATCTCATATCTCTATTGCATGATTCAGATCCCAAATTTGTTTACGTATCGAAATTTTTTGTTTACGTATCGAAATTTGAGAATGGAAAACCTCAAATTCATATTTGAACCAAAATTTTAGAGAATAAAACACTAATTTAAGAAAAGGTAAACCCTAATTTAAGAATAGAAAACCCTCAAATCCATCCCAATAGCGTTGACTATGGTTAGCCGCCAATAAATTGTTGTTGGTAGGAGAAGGAATAAAAAAAATGATGGAATCAAAAGGAGCAGAAAAGAAAAAGAAGAAGAAAAAAGAAGTCAACAGGGAGAAGAAAACGGTGGGAAGGAGAGGAAAAAGAAAAAAAAAAAAATGTTGCTCGACTTAATTTGATTTGCTTTGGGGTTATTTTGGACATTTGGCAAACTTTAGTACTAATCTCAACAAAAATTATCACAATTCTCAAACAAGGGTTTAAATAAATATGGACAGTACAATCCCACCTAATTGGATAGATTTTATCTTATCCTGTCTCTACAAGCAAACGAGCTCTTAGTAGACAAGCGACCCCTAAAATTTCAAGTTTTTCTTTTGGGGAGAGAGACTAGGGCAGGAGAGAAAAATTAACGGAGTAATTTTGCAACATTCCCTAGCACTAGCTGCCGTCAATTGTTAAAACTAAAGGCTCCTCTAAATCAGAAAATATTGAACTGAAATTTCCAACACACGGCAGACAGTCTATATTGTCCTCGTGCTCGTCTCAAAATGACGTGCTAAGACGAATTAGCACAAGTACAGAAATCAAGCGCACCTGCAATGCAATAAAATTCTAGTCTACAGAAAATAATCAAACAAATCTCGTCAACGATGCAGTGCATTTTTTCTTGAAAAGTTCACACAAATGATCTGCAGTGCATTTATTTTTTTGTTTCCTCACATATGATCTTCCCTCCTTCGTGGGGCACAAGTGATTATCTCGTCTACCCTTAGGATCATCTCAGCAGCTTCGGTTGCTGACAGCAATACGGCCTGCTTCACCTTGAATGCCTCTGATATCCCGAGCTCTGCCATATCTCCAACCTGAAGTAAATCAGTCATGGTCAATAAAATATATCTAACCCGACAGCAATACGGCCTGCTTCACCCCAGTTGCATCTTTTATTTGAGACGTAAATCAGTCATGATCAATAAAATATATTTCCTGAAGTCCAGAAGTCATAATGATATCTCTGATACTTTGATAAAATATGAGAGGGTGGAGCGGAAGTTCAATTTCGGATTCCAACTATCCATGTTGGATATTTCCATTCATGTAACTTCTTGTTTCGGAGTTTCCAGTTTCTTTTAAAGTTGCTGCGGACCGTGCAGAACTACTTTTGAGAATTATAATTAAAATACACCTATTACGCTTGTTTAGCCTACGAACTGTGTCCTCAACAAACAGGGAGGCATTTGTCAGATAAATGAAATTCTGCAAGGGGAGTTTCTAATGGTACTAATACTCATCTATGATTCTGAACATCACCATGCTCTCTTTTCCTTATTTTTTCTTTTTGGGTGCGTGCGTGCTTTCATAATTACACTGGACCCAGATAGTGTTTGAAGCTCAACAATCGTAACAATTAAAACAAGATGGGTTGCCCTCTGCAAGTCTATACAGTCAACTAACACACAGTCCGGCTCCTGCAAAAAAATAACTCAAAGGAGAACTTACAGTTCCAGAGATGACATCAATCCCTGCAGTGCTACCCTCCTTGTGGTGCTCTGCCCGGAGCTGAGCCACCAATTCGGCACTGTCCAGACCTGCATTGTCGGCAATGGTTGTCGGGATGGCCACGAGCGCACGAGAGAATGCCTCGATGGCGTGGGATTTTTTCCCCGGTGTCATCCTCGCCAGCTCATCCACTGCCTTCGCCATCACCATCTCCGGCCACCCGCCACCAAACAGCACCCTACTGTCATTCACTGTCTGTGATAGCACGCACAGAGCATCGTGAAGAGATCTCTCGGCCTCGTCCAGCATGTGAGGGCTAAAGCCACCCAAAAAAAAAATAAGAAAGGAAAAAAAAAAAAGGAAAGGTTACATAGATGTATTAAATGAATATATGTTGTTGGAAAAAAAAACAAAAAGAAAAAAGGAAGTTGCTTAAATAGCTAAAATAAAAGGTTTAAAGTAACCTTGCGCCTCTCAGAACAATAGTGCATGCCTGACCCATTTCCACTCCAGAAAAGTGGATCAACTTGTCCTCGCCAATCATGATTTCCTCAATGAGCTTGCAGTGCCCGAGCTTAACAGACTCTGGATTGTCGAAAGTAGATGCTATCTCGCCCCCCGTGACGAGAGCCAGCCGCTCGATTCCGTCGAAATCTGCGTGCTCGATTGCGAGCACACCAGCGTCAGCAAACAGTTCTTCAGGGAAATTGTAAATCAGTTGTCGGTTGACAAAGCAGTTTATGCCGTGATTGATGATCTTCTGCACCTTCTCTCTCATCTTCTCTTTCTCGGCTACTTCAATCTCAGCGACCTTGGCCATGGAATCAACCCGAACACGCGCCCCGTAAATTTTCACTTTGTCCGTGTCCATCGCAGTATTCGCCACCAATATTTTGGCATTTTCAATTCGTTTTGGTTGTCCAACACCCATTTTTTTGTCCAAAATGAAACTGATCCAGAGATGTAAATCTAAGTCAAATTTAAAGAATGAAATATTGTCGGAAGCAGGTAATGTATCAAAATCATCATTACTAAAAAACGGGTAGCTGGTATAACTAGATAAGAAAACAGATGAACAAGTCAGGTCTGGAGATTTATGTGACCCGCTATGCCTATATCCTTTTCACGTGCTAAATTGAATGGCACGAAGGTGAAAAGTTGCTGAATTTATGGTTCAATGCAAATCATAAAGTTACATTTCAATGAGAATTACCAAAAAATCCACCTTTCGTGCCATATTTCTTCACCAAGGGAAGTTAGAATAGGAACAGAAGGAGATGGATATATTGAAATAGGTAATTAAGTGAATTAGGCATTTGTTCTCCAACAGCTGAGAAGTGCAAGAAATTAACATGCATCTTATTATATAAATCCATCCTCGGTCATGTTAAGGGGAAAAGGGAAATTTTGTATAATTTGAAAGTTAAAATTTCCCAATGCAGCAGCTAAAGACATTTAGCAATAAACATCAATTAAAAACCAGGGGACTCGATAACATCTAAAATATCTACGAGAATTACTATTCCTAATTTTGAAAAGGGGAGAACTAATATCTTTTAGAAATGGAGAAAGCCAAGTAAAGCAAACAATTCAGCTGCCATACCCCTCGTCCAGAAATGAATCTTTCAGTGAACCGCCAGGCTTCTTAATGATTTGAATGGATTCCAAATTTGTACTTCCCTGTTCATTTTCAAAATAACAAATTAAATCAACCAGAAATCAGCTAACTTTCAACACAATATATCCAAAGTAGTCCTAGCAATTAAATTTATAGACTAATACCCACTAAAAGAAAAAAGAGCAGAAATCTGAGAACGGTTATCTTCCAACTCAATGTCATATTAAAGCTAATATCAACCCAGCCAATGTTAAGTGATAATACATTTCCAAAACAAAATACAAATTTATAACTCATATAGAGATTGTAAGAAATGTCACATGGGACGAAGCTTGGAGTTAACAAGGTAAGATTTTAAAATACTCATACCTTTAATCTCATGACTGCATCAACAGCTAGTTTTGCAAAATGTTCTTTGTCCTGAGAGAGAATTTTTGAGCTCAAGGTAGTCATTGCAATTTTCATCAAGTCTGCTTTGAATTTCTCTGGAAACAAAAGATATGCAAGATTTGTAAAGATGTCCGATTCAATAAAACTGCACTCCCATCACATTGTATCTTTTGCCCCTTTTCATGGACCCGCAGACAATGTACATTAGCAACTGTATCTAGGATTTAGTCCAGAATCCTTGAAATTTGGTTTGCATAATTGGTTACGAGAAGGCATAAAAATGACTACGCACAAATTACTTTCCTCTATAGTAGATACGAAAAAAGCTTCTTAAGGAACAGAGTTTGAACCTTACAGAGTCTACAGACGAAATGCTACATCTCAACAGCGTAAATCAAAGCAAACATTCATCCTGTTTATTATCCTACATCTCAACAGAATAAGTCAAAGCAAACCTTCATCTGGTTTATTATCCACCACCTTCTCCAGCAACGCATTCCTTGCACATTCAACTGCCATGCGGTAACCTGGCAAAATGCCCACAATGAACAGCTATCAGGAAAATTTATCACCAAAAATTAGTATAATTGACAAATGTCTATGAAAACAAAAACAGTTTTAGGAAAAGACAGATTATATTTGTACTGTACTAAGCTTGCAATGTATCACGACTATGAAAATGGCTAGTATCATTGTAGTGTTGCACATAACATGTCACCGAGTAAACTATTGGAGCATTGGAGAATTTAGAAAAAGGACTAACCTGCAATAATAGTCATTGGATGAATTTTTGCATTTACCAGCTTCTCTGCCTCCCTCAAAAGCTCCCCAGCTAAGACAACAACTGAAGTTGTTCCATCACCAACTTCATCATCTTGAACTTTTGAGATGTCTGAAAATGAAATCAAGGCTGGCCAAAAGCTTAAAAATTTGAGGAATCTTCTAGTACTTTCTCATCCTCGTAAATTCTCATCCAGGGAAATGATACTTTAGCATCCAAAATATCAATTATAAAATAATATCTAAAAACTAACATGAGGAAAAACTCTATACAGAATTAAACCCACACCACAATATATGACTTGGAACCAAGGATACCAACAAGGACTTTGGCAGCAGCATTGTCAATGTGCAGCGACTTTAAGATGGTTGCTCCATCATTTGTAACTGTAACACTGTGACCTCTTCCGGTAGATTGCAAGATTTTATCCTACAAAATAAGGCGATATAATATATAAAATGAATGGTCAAAAACAATTTTTTCTCAAAAAGTTTTAGATAAACATAGATGACATGCTTCCATTACCATTCCCTTAGGGCCCAATGTCGTCTTAACCAGGTCAGCAATCGCCATTGCTCCAATAAAGGAGGCCTAACAGAAAAAGAGGAAGAACCTAGTTGTCAGCATGGATGCAAGTCCATCAACATTTCTAAGGTGACCCAGTAAAAAAATGCGGCCCTCATCGGGCGGAATTTAAATCGACTGCTACTAATAAAAGTTAGCAGCTGCCTCAAATAGATAAAATCTTATGAATCGAGCGTGCTTCACCAGGGTTTCTTTAAGGGGTATAATGTAATCACAAAAATTACCCAAAAAGACACATTGTAGAGAGATAGGACTAACCATTCTGGCACGCTCACCCTTCTCTTCAGTAGCCTCATCTTTAAAAAGTTTCTCAACCTAAAAACTCAAAGACATCATCATTCAGAAAAACTTGAGTTTTGCAATTCAAGAATTAAACTTGGCAGAAGTGTGCAGCAAGTCTTTTAACATACCGCCATTGGAGCAAATGTTGAAAATGATTGTCGAAAAACACACGCTCGACTCAAATGATTATCTGGGGGCTAAACAAAAGAAAAGAACGCCATAATTAATCATTGCATATCTAATCCAAAGGAATAAATAATTACAACTTAGACATCCTAAACCAAATACAGACAAGCTCCACTCTAGAACTGTTAAAAATGGAATCATAATTTATAAATTTAATGAACCCTAGCATTCTACTCTGCCAAACGATTTTTGAAAGGCCCCCTCCATATATTTTCAAAACTCCAACACCCACAACAACAACAATATATATATAAATTAAGTTCATCCCCTATCAAATTTAACAGCAAATAACGCCAAACAGCAACATGCCTTCGACAATAATATTAAAAGAATAGGGTAAAACAAAAAAAAAAAAAAAAACTTTCTTCCATTAAACCCTAGAAACAAGCTTGAAACCCCAGCAGCATTTCAATTAAGCAACCAAATTAAAATAGGTAACCACATGATCTAGAACTGTGATTAAAGTTTCAATGACGAAATCATTGTTATGGCCTTAACCAATCAAGTTAACTCGAAGAAACGAACCTTCTTCTACTAGCAAACCTCCGCAGCAGAGGTAGGACTTTGGATCCCGCCGAAAGTAGTGAATGAATCAAGTGAGAAAAGGGAGCTTGGGCGTCGTGCTCTTATTCGTCTTAACGAACGGCTGGATTTTGCGTCAGAGATTACACTGACGGTCGGATTTCCTTCCTCTAGCTCTGAAATAGAATTACATTACCACATTTATTATGATTAAATTAAATTAAATTATTTGAGTTAGTTTGATGGTATAAAAATATTTATCAAACAGTATGTTATACTACTAGAGAGAGTTTAGTTTGCGGGATATGTCAAGATAAAGAAAATAATCCTGGATATCTTACGTTTATTTACCGAGATTGGGATGGGATTATATTGATATGGTGCCTATGTGGCATGCGATGATAAGCTATTATCAGACAAAAAAAATCCAGCCTCTCCCCTTGGACTAAATAATTATGTCTTTAAAATACCACTCTTACCCTCAGATTTCGGTGCGAAAAGGCCAAAAGATCTTTATTTTTTATGAATTTACAACTATCTTACCAATAAAAAGCAAAAATCGGCCATTTTGTCCTAGCTGCAGAAACGAACGATGTCATTGTTGTGAAGAAGTGTAAGCTTCGGATTCCTAAAGGTGAGCTCCACAATTGCCAGGCTTTAACTAGTTATCAACCGTGCTCAAAGCCGAACTACTATAAGACTAAGCAGGTCTAATTTTCTTGTTGTCATATCAACAGAACTCAGTACACTTATTGCTTTGGAGAATGCATTTTTCTAATCTGGGTCTATTCCTATGTGACTTGTATTTTTTATTTTTTTACCATATAAAATAAGATTTGAGAGTAAACTTTTTTCGACCATATAAAATTTTTCCGCACTCACACATATAAAATACTTTTTCCGACCAATCACAAAGAGATGAGTCATTTGTTCAAGTTGTGGAATACATCTCGCCATGCATTCAATTGGAAGCTACCACGTGTCCTGACGAAACAATATTTTAGTGACATCCCATTATAAAAGAGGGGTTTGGAGGCTTTCATGAAATCCACCTTATATATTAATTCATAACGTGTTGAGCCTAAGTGACAGGCTTGCACGCTTTGGAGTCCTACATGTCACAATATCATGCCTTGTATTTAGGTTCGGATAAAAAATTTGAAAACAAAATTGGTTTAAAAAGTGTCATAAATATTTTTTCCACCATATATTGTTGTCTTCCATCAATCTCTCTTTCATTACCAATTTTGTCTTGAATTTAAAGATCACACAAATATTTCTTTTCTTATTTCATTTTACTAAGAATTTATCTCATTCCTTATTTTTTTTTTTCAAGTTGATAAGTTTTAGCCCATTTCTTAGTCTGTCTCCTTGTTTGTGTAATGAATAATGATGAACTAAATTTATATATTATAATTATATTGATAATGTAATTAATAAAATCTTAGCTAAACAAACCCTCATCTTATTAATATTAACCTCTTGATTTATGGATGTCACAGTTCATTACAAGTTTGTGTTGACAATGATGAAAAATTTGTAAGTAGAACTATTAATGTCGTGTACAAATAATTTTTTTAGAATTTGAACTAAAATACCAATGTGCAGTAGCTTTTGTTTTATGGAACTTCCATTTATTTATTTTGTATATATTTACAATAACTAAGCTCTTTTACTTTTTTTTTTTATTTAAATTATTTTTTCATACACCCGTGTACACTATATCTCCTTAGGTTCGGAGAGGACTCAACTGTTAGTTAGTTAGTATCACCCTACTTTACTAGTACCCTCTAAATAGAAGACGTTATGTTTAGTATCTCTCTTAAGCTTTCCTTTACGTTTCTTGTTCTTCCAGTGTTTTAAATGTCTTGTATATTGTATATAAAAGTGGCCGGGAGCAGCTGATCTTATCAATAAAAATTGCCGATGCAGACGCTTAATTCGTCGAGAGATACGAGCTATATATTTTTCCCCGTAACCACGTTAAAATCATCCATAAATGACTGCATAATTACAAAGTCATCATCTCGATGGCCTTTGTAATCATCTACAAAGGAAGAGGATGGGAAAAAGAACATTTCGTTTATTACAATATAAGATCAATCACAAATCCCAAACAGGATACAAACATCCAACTCAAACTGAAAGAATGAGCTAAGGTCATTAACTTAAAAGAACACGTGAAAGATACCAGAACACAGCAACAGCATGCCCCCTAATCTACAAACTAAAGGTGCTGAGTTAGCACCCACAAGAATTCAAACTTAATCATGTAAAGAAACAAGGTGCGACTTCTTTTGTCCTATTCCCTATAGCCGAGCTGCTAATTGTGAAAACTCACACTCCATAGGCTGGAAATTTAAGAATTATCTAGGCGTGTTTAAAGCGGGCGAGTGTGCCTGCCTCTTGCCCTGCCACAAAGAAGTGCATTCTTTGGGATGGGATACTCATCTCTTAACGAGGTTGATGACGTGTAAACTCGGAGATAAAATTGTTGTCCCAAATACTGACGAGCCCAGAACTCGGATCTCAAGTTCCACATGCCCACATTGTCCAGGGCAATATAAATAGCCGTCCACGATTTGGGGTATACCTGCATTACATAAATATATCGAATGTTAGTTTCAAAAGTATTCTTAAAACAAAAAATCAGACTTGAACTGTGCCATGGCTAATGAGTGTTGTGTGCAATGTACCTGAACTGTGCAACGAGAAACCGCATCACGTAGATTGTACTGGTTTCGACTAGCTGAAGTCCACTGCCCTCCATCCATTCTGTTTTCAGTTACACCGCCAAAACAAAACACACATGTAAGTAAGAGATACGTACAAATTAAGGACGTGTTCTCATTTTGTGTCTTTGCATATTAAGGTACTTTACCCGACGACCCAGAAAGCATAGCCGCTTAGATGATAGCTCTGCACGATATTCTCATAGTTCTCGAAAATGACCTCTACGAAGGTTCTATAGTCGACACCCATTACGGACGTGTCGAGGTATATCCCACGGCCGTTGGGTGCGTAAGGAATGCTCCCGACCCGAAAAACTCCATTTATGTTGAAGTAATCGGCGAGTTTCAAAGGGGTGTCTGCCTGGACAAAAGACACGCTGTTCAACGCGTATCTCTGCTTCCCATTGACTTGTCCTGCCGAACTTGCTATCCTGATGGTCCTCGACGTGTTGATCATGCCGTAGTGGTACGACCCCTGTGGGTTCGGTCTTGGCCCACTTGCCGTCAGGTTTGTTCTGAAAACACAAAATTCGATGTTAACTGAATTATTTACATTACATGGCGAAAATATATATATATATATGCATGAGTGGTAATGTATGTATGTACCTGATGGTCCTGGCCTGGCTAAGGGACCAATCAATCTGGGTGGTGGGCCCGCCTGGTAGAGGCCCAGAGGCACGGCGGTTGGAGTTCGCATACCGCAGGTAGCCTGTGGTTGTGAGGATCGGAGTAGTGAAACGAGTGGACACGACAATGAAATATTCCTGAGGCGTCTGGTCGGCTGTGACAAGAACCGACATGCACTGGCCCACGTGAATGTCGAGGGAAGAGTAGCTAATCTGCATGGTGTGGGTCCCCTCGACCTCCACCACCTTCATCTTGTGGCCTTGGATTCGGATGTTGAGCGAGTTTTGGAGCCCAACGTTGCATATCCTCAACCGGTATGTTTTGCCTATAATTCGTGATAGCTACTTATTGGAATCGAACATTTATCGCACGTATAATTTATTGGGAAATATATGCAGTAGTATACCTGGTTGAACGGTGAAAGCAGTGATGTTGGGGCCACGGCCGTTGATGAGAATGCCGTGGGGTAAAGGCAATTTCTTGCCTCGGTCAAGGATGGCCCTCAATGCCTAATAAATAATGAATGCAATAAGAAGGCTTATTAAACTTAGCTACCAATTTTGAGTGACTGATGGGGACAGTTTATTGTTTATAAGATGCTGCTTACTTACAGTGTGATTAGTCTTGTACCAGTCTCCGATTAAGACACTGAAATCATCGGTTGGGGGGTCGAAAGGGACGGGGATTTGGGGTCTGCTTAAGATCTTAATGGCTCCAAAACCACCGGCAGCCTTGTGGAAAGCCAAGGAAGGGAAATAGAAGAAGCTACCGATTTGGTCCTTCATTTGAAGAATGTAAGTGAAGTTGCGGCCGGGAGGGATTGGACAAGTTGTCCCCCACACACCATCCTCGTATGAGTTCCTTCTGTTTTGGATACCGTTCCTGTCGCAACATACATATCGAGTGTTACTGTTTACAACATCATGCTTTAATCCGTCATGTCTACCATGTCATATTTAGAAGTGAAGAAAAAGGAAAGAAAGAGCGTCCTGACAATGTTCATTCAGCTCATAACGTCCAAAAAGAAAGAACATATATGCATATAGTAGAGCATGTTGAGGTTTCAATTATTGATTTATTTATTGAAAATTATAAATTTATGATGTTTGATTTTTATTCTCATATAAATTGGTAAAATATTACTCTAACCCAATTAAATAAATAGGTGTGAAATGTTACACATAAATTTCAAATAAAATAGAAAATTAAACTTAATTGGAAGTTAACCAATGAGCCTAAGTAAACTCATTTATGAAATTTATGAAATATATATATGTTTTATGAAAATTTGAAAGTAACTATTATTATGACCTTTGTCTCATGTAGATTTGAAAAACGTATAAGCTGTGTGTTTAAAATTAGATTAAACAATTCTTTTGCATTTCAAAATATAAAAATAAAACTATAAATTTAATTGGTTGGCGTATGTCGGACGAGCAATCAAGTAAACTATTGACTCAAATAAAATGATAATATTGATAACAAGATTTTTATTATTTTTGAAATACTAAATAATTGTATTATAAAATATCAATCTGAAAGTTATTATGTTATAGCCATATAGAGTAAAGAGGATTAGGAATAACTCTGACCGGGGATCAAGTCGAGTTATGGCAAAGTCGTTTCGAATAAGAAGATGACAATATGAGTTAGCTGTCGCAGAAGTAAGGACACTCGCCTAGTAACTCAAGGTCAGGCCCATCCATCCCACGGCTCGAGGATATTGAATGGTCCGAGGACGAGCAGAGTGAGTTCTCATCACTATTAACACCTCAAGGTCGACATATCTCACCTCGCTGCCCAAATATCGACCTCATTAAGCATTATGACGGCTTTTAGTCGACAACGGTACCTCGAGGTCGACCTCACTTCACCTCGAGGTTCGAGACCGACTCGCTTTATGAATTCGAAGATAGGCAAATGACAAATGGTAGGATATCCAGAGATCGTGACCACCTATTTAACTAGTCCTAAGTCAACCTCCTGTCTCTCGAGGTCGACTTCTCATACCTTGTGGCTCGAGGTGCGTGATAACCAAGACTACTTCAATGCTCAATGGGCTAAACGGATAAGGATAAATCTTTAAAGGATAAGATGAAATCTTAAGCTGACTCAAATCTTTAAAAGGGATGAGGTATGACCAAACGTTAATTTACACTCTCTACTATGGATGAAAACGGTGCGGTGCGGTGCGGATAATGCCTTTCCCACATCCTAATCCATTTTATTTTTGCGGATTTGGAGCGGAGCGGATATTGGGCGGATACGGATGTGGATGCGGATTGTTTCGGATATCAGAGATGGTACGGATTCGGAGCGGAAGCGGATCGGATGCGGATTTATATAGTCGGATAATACATGCTTCTACTCAACTCTTTATGACGAATAATAATTAATAAAGCAAAGTTGCAAGAAAAATTAAAAAGAACACAAAACATTGAGTTCCTTAGGTACTTAGCTAACGAGACGAGCCAAGTACATAGCTAGTTCACAACTAGCTAAGCTAAACCATTAATAATTAAGCAATACACCCGCTATACAAAATCATAGCCTAATAGTCATAGGTCCGAGCTATATATAGATTCATCATGCATGCAGTGATGCAGATATATAGATCTCTTCTGGGTAGGGATTTGTATCAACTATCCAGTGGGGATCGACATATACATGATCTACACCAAGGCCCCAAAAGATCCATACAGCCACGATGGTCCATAGATGCTAGAAAGATCATGATGATGCCATCGATCTTCTAGGAGATAACTCATTCGTTCACCAACAAAACGATTCGTACATGTGCGGTGTGCCGGCCTGGAGTGAGGCTGGCTGTAGAAAGTCGAAACTGGAAGAACAATTACAAGATTGGGTAAAAAAATAGTAAAATGCAATACAATACCTAGTGCTGACTTGTTGTGTCGAAGAAAACAGTAGCACGCACGAGAGTAGCGGCGGCCGGGGAACAAAGATGCAAATAGATGTCGCTGACAGCGACCTGCATGCGAGATGATTGTGAAACCAGCCGCCGTATCCTTAGCTTTTAGGGTGTCTGCCGATGAGTAATTTTATATGGTTTGTGTGGGCTAGTTGGACCGGGATTATATTATTTAGGGCTATGTAAAATAATCGGATATCCTCTTATAAAGGTCGGATAATCCACTTTAAATTGTCGGATAATCCATATCCACCGGATATTGCCAATACCATATCCTCTTCCATATCCGCAACAATAGGATGCGGATTATCCATATCCTCATGGATATCTAAAGCCTTAATCCATATCCTCGTAACGCGGATTCGGATCGGATCGGATGCGGAAATTATCCACCCCGCTTTCACCCCTACTCTCTACGCATTCCATATTCTACTGCTCTACCTACAGAGCATCTCTCTCTCTCTCTCTCTGATACCAATTTAAGCATCGGAGGCTCTACGCCAGAAACCCCTCTGGCGTTGAGTTCTTGCAGGTATTCGTGACGATCTAGAGTCGATTCAGACAAATCGGAGCTCATCTCAACCAGTTTATTCCAGATCTGGGAGAAACCCCAACACATAATATTTTGTATACTTTGAAATAATATACGTCTGACATATTAATATTAAATTATTATGCATTGCAAAATAAATAACTAAAATTATATAAATCTTATGTGTTAGAATATCACTTGTGAGTTGTCCCACATCGTTTATACATGGAAAATAGACACACCTTATAAGTCTAATGGGCTACTCCTCCTTTCACCAATTGGTTTTGGGATGGAACCCCATTGGGCTTCATATGGGTTTTTCCCTCTCATGGTGCGCTTCATGTTAGTGGGCCCGCACCGTTTTCCCCCCAATTTCTTTCATTATGTTATCCTATTTATCTATATCATATCATATCAATCCAAATTAAGTGGAATATAGCTGGGAACCAACAAACAGACCATTCTAGTTAGGAGGGAGGTGGCTATTTCTTGACAAAGTCATGATGGTAACAACCCATGTGGGTTTCTTTCTATTTTCCTACCACAAACAAATTTAGTATAACGTGACACGAAAAATTAAAAGGGTACAATACACATAACCACAATAAAAAGAAAATTAGAATTCAATAATCGTTTTAATGACATGGAATTTGTCTGTCACGTTTTGGCATTGAAAATGCATGAGTTATGAATTTAATCTTTTTACTTATAGCTTATATATAATTAATTGATGACAAAATAAAAGTATTCAATATATATTAGTTAAAATATGACTATATCATAGATCTCCCTCGGTACGTGTGTAGTGCATAATGTGCCAATTTTTTTATTTTATTTTATTATTTTTTTTTTTTTTTGTTTGGTACTGAATGTGCCAATTTTCAACTAGTAGCAATGAAAGAGAATTTTCTCGAGATATGAAATATATCTATATATAGAGTTTTAGGCTTATGCACGCTTAATAATAACTATAAATGCTTAATTTAATGTACCCAACCATGTTAATTACGCAGTTAAACCCATATGAGACATGTTACAGTCCCGTTACATAACCATTTTGTCAGGGTTTGTAATCGCTAGATCATCAAGTAATCGTCGAGAATAGTTGATGTAATGATTACAAACACCGACGGGATGATCCGTAGCATCTCCCTAAACATATAAGCATTGAAGCGTACAATTTTCTCTTATGAAAATTTGATAGAATAAGTTATGATTATTTTATAACTTACCAGTGAATGAGGAAAGGCTCATTTAAGCTGTTAAACACGTTGATTATGATATTATCGTTGGTCACCGAGTAAATTTCGGGCCCTGGGAATTGCCCATTTATCAAAATACCCTGAAAAAAAAAAATGGCAAATAAATCAAATTAATCATCAAATTTAAATAAGATAACATAAAATAATAAAAAAATCACACCATTGCTTATCAAAAGCGCAAATCTCTCAACTGAAACTGAACAAAAATGAAATTAACAAAACACATTAGTAATAAATATGATAGACAGACCTGCTGTGGAACACCGAGAGGACGGATGGTGCCATAAGTGACATTCCATTGGAAGAATCTGTACGGATTGTCTGCAGCCACCACGGCGAAGCAGAGGAACAAAACCGCTAACTTTAGCGGCATTTTTTTTTTGAGATCGTAAATACGGAGAAATTTGAATTATTATTTTTTTTCTATTTAAAAAAAAAAATAAAAACCGGAAAAAGCAGAGTGAGAGTGTGAGGGGGAAGTGAATGAATGAAGGAAAGGGGGGGCAGAGGGCATAATAATATATAAAGTGTGATGTTGATTCAGACTGCCGCGTGAGTTCAAAGAGAGAAAAAAAAAAAATAAAAAAAAATAAAAAAAATAAAAGAAAAAAGGAAATTGAAAAGAAAATCGGTAAAGTCAAATGGGACTTTTTAATTATCTGGCCGTGAAAATAGGAGGGAACAGATTTTTAATAGCTGGATTATCAAATGATAATATCATGTTTACGTGATATTACTGTTGTTGGTGTTTTATCACTTGATTGTAAAAGTTGGGGGGCTACGGTCGCGTTATGGCATTATTTCGTCGGGTTATTTTAACCGTTGAATTATCTATCTTATCCAAACCGTAGCATTTTCCTAAAAAGTAATACTACTTTATAGGAGAAAGTTTGAAAAAATTAGGGAGAATTTAGAAGATGTGATTGATTTAAAAGAGCTTTTATTGAACATGAATGAGCTCGAACAAGTTTTTCGCAAAATTAAGTTTGTTAATGAACTCAAAATAAGCTTTTGTTTTAGTTCGTTAACAACCCAATATCCAATTTAACAACTGTTCAATAAATTTAAGTAATAATATTTTCGGTTATATTTAACTTTTTTTCTTATATGTTTTATTTTATAAGTAAAGAATATTGATTCGAATGATTTTATTAATAAAAAAAATTGAATATTAATAATCATGGATGTAGGCAATTAATATGTTAGGTGTAGTAATCCCCTCCCCTATATATTAATACAGAACGCGCTGAGCCTACGTGGCTGCTTCTGGTGCTTCGGAATCCTATGTGGCAAAATTACATGCTTGTTATTAAGCTTGGATAAATTTTAATTTAATTCCAAACCAAAAATAATTAGGTTCGGATTACCACAAATATGTTGATTATTTATGGTCATGTTACATGTATTAATTTTATTTTAATATCATTCCTTATTATAACTAATAAATTGTATAGATATTTTAAAAGTTAATAACTTTTGTATATTTTTTTTATCAATTTTACATATGTAATATATCAAATTAATCTTCTTTTGATGAGCTTCGATTTAACATCCATATTGTATGTATAAAAAAAATAATTTATATTTATCTTTATAACAATAATAAAATTATTTTTAATATTAATTAGAAAAATAAAATTATTTATCAACTAATATATTTATATTTCAAGTAGTTATATGATATAAGTTATAACAACTAATATAATATAACACATGTAAGTCATAAGTAACACATATCATTCTAAAATATATAGTAATATAATTTTTTTGTAACTAAATTTAATTTAGTTTTCTCATTAATTTTAAAATTTAAGAATATTTTTTTAACAAGTACCCGTGTAATACACGAGTGTTGTACTAGTGATTATTACAGCTATAAAATTTAAAAAATAAAAATGTCAAGATTAAATAGTTATAAACTGTCAAAGTTTAAAAAAATTAGAGATGTTAACTAGAGCAGGAGAGATAGTTCATGGACTAGACCGTTAGTTTATATGTCTGTACTGGATTGTTATTTAATGGTCATAATAGTCGGATTTATTTCTTTATTTTCATGTTTATTGTCATTATTTTATTTAATATGCCTTACTTTTATTTATGGGGTGTACACAATGGTGGACCTAGGCAGGGGCCCGTAGGGGCACGGGCCCCTATACAATTTTTTAAAAATATTTGTACATATAATTATATCGTAAATAAAAAATTATAGATATATTTTCTTAAAATTTAAATTGTTTACATTTTGTATTTGTTTATATTGTAGGCAACATATATAAATGGGTTACATCGATTTTCTACAAAATTCAACATTGATTTTGATGCACATTAAATTTTAGGTGTTCTTAAAACTATAATTATAAGTTTACAATTAGCTACTAAATTGTGTTTGTTATTGATTTTTTAACCAATAAAATTTTTATATTTATTATAAAGAAGTCCACGAATGCTAACGTCTAAGAATATCCAATGCAAAACAAAAAAAAATATTGGTATTTGGAAAGTATTTTTTAAAAAGATTTGAATTTATGTAATTATAAGTGATATAATATATAAGAACATGAAGAGAATAAATATTATATTTTTTTTTTCAACTTTGTAACAATTACGTTTGTGCCCCCTCGATCTTCCGAGGCTGCGTCCGCCCATGGGTGTACATATTAATTGTTTAATGTGTATGGTAATTACTTTGTTGATATTGACAACACATATAATAAATTACGGTAAATGCATATTAGAAAAAATCTCTTAATTTACATATACCAAGTGTTTAATGAAATTAAATAAATTAATAAATTTCACAGCCTCCATTGCCAGTTTGTTGGTGAAGTAGTTAAATTTGCGTGTTGGCATAGAGTCGTCCTCCATATTGGATGAATTTAATTGTAGTTCACCAGAAAGATACTGTTGTAAAGAAAATCATGTATCGGATTATTAAACATATTTTTTTTAATCCGCCATCTATATCATGTCATTTTGATCATTCACGTATAAAGTTGTTGGATACTGGTTAAATCTACAACATAGTGGTGGAATTTAGACTAATCAAATTTGATCATATGGTGACATGAAGTGTTTTGGTGTTGTTTATTAATTAGCATGGTAAATTCATGTTATTTGTCACCATTACTTAGTTACTCACATTTATTACATCATCTAAACTAAGTTATTAACTACTTCGAGTAAACAAAATAACATTTGATGGATCTCCTCCCAGATCTGGAGTAAACCGATTGAGATGAGCTCCGATCTGTCTGAACTGCATCTATATCGCCAGGAATCCTACAAGAACTCAACGCTGGAGGGGGTTTCAGTGTAGAGCATCCGATGCCTAAGTCAGTATCAAGAAGGGAGAAGATGTTCTGCCTAGAGCAGCAACAACACAATCTGAAAATGTGCAGAGAATGTAAAAGTTAGGGTTTGGTGTTACCTCGTCCCCTTTTATAGAGAGGAATACCTGCCCAAAATGCCCCGCGTCAACCCGATTGGTGGTCCGATTTCACCCACATCCTAATCACTTCTTAGTCAGATATGAGTCATCTTAAGATTCTATCTTATCCTCTAAAGATTCATCTTGATCCATAAATTCCATTGAGTACTGAAATAGCCCTAGTCATTACAGACCTCGAGTTGCGAGGTGTGGGAAGTTGACATCGAGTAACCGGAGGTCGACCTGGATTTGATAGAAAAGGGATCATCATCTTAGGTCTTGCCATTCGTCTCTAGCTCGTTCTCGAGTCCGTAATACGATGAATCATCCTCGAGTCATGGGACGCATGAAATCGATATCGAGTTGCGCGGTGAATGAGCTTGAACTCGAGCTTTTAAATGAGAGAAATCAACATTGACGACCGGAATGTAGCATTATTCAAAGTTTGTTAAATTAGGTACTTAACACTACAAAATATATACTTATTAATGATAGATTGAATACCATTACATGGAGTAGGTATCGATCTTATAAACGTTGACCAAAATGCAATAAACTCATGTTAAATGATAATATATAAGTACTAAGTCAATACAACACTAAGTTAAATCTCATAAATATTGACAAAATTAGAGTAATCTATTTTTGTTGACCGAAGTCGTTATTAGTTGATTGGTAATAGGTACCATCATACAATGCATCTGGTATATTGTTTAAGAAAAAACAGGTAACATATTACTAATATTGATTTCCTTAATACATCGTGTATATCATGCCACATGGACTGTTCGTGCGTGAAGTGGTTGAAACATAGACGAATGTAAAATATATTGGTGGAACTTAGACTAGTCAAGAATGATCATTCATTGAGATGAAGTGTTTAAGTAATGTTTGTTCATTTATTTTGTGTTCATGACTACTACCCGAGGATACTTAATTACACACATTTAAAAACTCAATAAAGCTAGTATGTGAGTAATTTTGAGTAATAAAAACATCATTTAAGACCGAAATATCGTATTTGTTGAAGTTCATTATAGTTGGTACTGGAGACTCAATAGTAGGTAGTAACTTAATATAGAAGGGGTACTGTTAGACCATTAAGTCGGTATAAATCTCATAAGCATTGACCAAAATTAGATTATTTTATTTTCGCTGACCAAAGTCAGTACTGATTGATTGGAATGAGTAGTAGCATACAATGCACCTGGTATCATGTTTAAGACACATGTATCATATTACTAATCGTGATTTTTTTAATCCGCCATGTCTACCATGTCGCATGAATCGTTCACGCATGAAGTGTTTGAAAAATAGATGAATGTAAAACATATATGTGGAATTAAGACTAGTAAAGTATGATCATTCAATGTGATGAAGTGTACAAGTATTGTTTGTTCATTAATGTATTGAGTTCATGATTATTAATCGAGGATACTTAATTACACACATTTATAAAGTCATTAAAACTAGTGAGACTGATTTTGAGTAATAAAAACATCATTTAAGACTGGAATTTAGTTTTTTTTTTTGAATTCATCAAAGTTAGTACTAAAGACCGAATAGTAATTACTCACGTAATATAGAATGAGTACCGTTACACCATTGAGTCTGTATAAATCTCATAAACATTGAGAAAAATTAGATTAATCCATTTTCGTTGACTAAAGTCAGTATCAATTGATTGGTAATAGGTACTATCATACAATGCACCTGATATCATGTTTACGACAAACAAGGAGCATATTATTAATCATCATTTCTTTAATCCATCATTTCTACCACATGGATCGTTCACGCATGAAGTGGTTGAGAAATAAACGAATGCAAAACATATAAGTAGAACTTATACCAGTAAAGTATGATCGTCCAATGAAATGAAATATATAAGTAATGTTTGTTCATTAGTGTGTTTAGTTCATAACTACTAGTCGAGGATACTTAAG